GTGGCCCTCACTCATATCTGGATGAGCCTGAGGGTGGATCCATCTAATATCTGGTGACTTCTGTTACACAGAGCAATGCAGGGGGAAATAGCTCAAGAAGTATGGGAACAAAAGATGGAAATACTGTTGTTAATGCCAGTAATGTAGACTATTGTGTGTGTGGGGGGTTCTCTGTGTGCATCAAAGGGTTAAGAGTAATATCCGAAGTGGTAAAGGGCGACCTGGTGAGTGTTTCTTCTCACATGAATAATGGAAGTTAATATAGAGGAGGTGATGGCTTGGAGCATACGCACAGCATGCACACACACTCGCACTTCTACCCCGGGAGGATCTTGGTGTCATTCTCAATCCCTCCAGACTTTGAGGGGCCACAGAGAGTCACCATGCCCAGAGAGGGGAGGTCTTGGCTGGAAACTGCTAACTGAGAGTGGGGGGTCTGTGTAGTGAAAGCAAGGAGGTCTGGAAACATTTGGTCAAAATTCGATCAATTATACGTCAAGCGCCATAGCAAACACAGAACGGATAATGGAAGACTGTTTCTTCCTTTGTTGTTGTTCTTTTGTTTTCTTTCTTTGTAGTCTACGTCGCCGCGCATCTGCACCCACAGATACGAAAGTCAACACGCGTGAACTTTGGTGAACTTTGTATTGTTTGTCGTATCTCCATCCAGTTCTTCAAATCCTTCTTTCTCAAAGATATGCCGTTGTTTTCATAATCAGTATCACTGATATAATTTACAGAATTTGTCATCTTAATGAAACTGATGCATAATTCAAACAGCCATCCGTCTCTTTAATAGAATTCTTAGGAGATTAATCGCTCGCTGCCTCAAATGCTGTGGTATTGGAGGAGGACCAAGAAAAAAAGGGGCTAAATCCAATAATTTAAATGTTGTCCAAACCATTCCACTTTCCAAATGAGGCCGGTATATGCCTGGGCTTTGTGAGTTTGTGCCTTTGTAGCTGGCCAATCAGTGAGTGTCCTTTTCAAGGGTCATAGGCCGATCTTGTGTTGATCGTAGCCATGCTCTACTCAAAGGTTGGCAGGTATGACTCACACAGAGATGAGAGGACAACCGTCTACATGATGGCATAACAGAGCTGTGGATCGTGAATGGCTTCAGATTTTAGGAATGCATTATGAGAATATTATAGGTAATTTTTAATAACTCTCAGTATGAGCTGTGTGAGATGGTAGAAAGAGGCATCTGCTTCATTTCTGCAGAACTCTTTTTCTTTTTCTTTTAGTTAAAGTTATTGGGGTCCGATGTGAATGCTTGATTTTAAGTAGATTTTGCATTGATTTGAATGGTTTTAAATGCATTCATTTTGTTAAGTTATTTAATATTTCGTTTAGTCTTTTTAAAGGTTTGAAAAATAGTATGTAAATGTAATGCAATGCTGCAACACTTACACTCCGAGATGATCGTCTATGATCATCACAATATCTGTGCTACCAGCAAATACAAAACCTCATTTAAAAGGTAATAGCAGGAATTATGTTTATTCACTGAATTGTGGCGTCAGTTTGTGTGTACGATTGTAGTATCAGTATTTCAGCATAGTGTCAGTTCATCAATAAGCTCTGTGAGTTACGTCTTCATCGTGTTTCCTATACTCTCATTTATTTCCACCGCAGGGAATAATGCATAGACCTGTTGGTGAAATCTGCTGGGTGTGTGTGTGTGTGTGTGTGTGTGTGTGTGTGTGTGGGGGGGGGGGTCATTTAGAAATATTGACGTATATTTAATTTTTGAGGTTTTTTACGGTTGAATTCCTCTGCTCTGGTCTAGAAACATTTTAATTCCAGTCTGATGACTCGTTATATTTTTTGCTTTTGTTTTCAGTGTTGCAGATTTTTTCCAATGTGTTAACTTTATTTTAAATAACACATTTTCACAATTAAGCTTTGAATTATTCCCTAATCAATCCTAGTCAATCAAAGCATTTGCTTGTATAATTTCGCCGGGGTTTTTTTGCCAGTCATGCCAGTGATCAAGCCTCAGATTCCAGTTTGTCCAACCACAGCGTATCGTAACCATGCAACACACAGTTCACGTTTTGTTAGCGCTTGAATAGCTTTGTGGTTGCTAAAATCATATTGTTCATCACTGCCTGCCAATATCAGAACAGTAAGAATTTGAAACCCAGCATATTTATAATGACAGAACCCCCAATTTGAGATTCTGTATTGGATGTTCTTCTTCTCTATGCTGCTTGCAAGATCATCTACCGTGACCAGTTTGGCAATGGGTCAGTGATGGTCTGAAATCACGTTGGAGGGTCGCACACACCAGAGAGCCGCATTATGACACACGTTGGAGCAGATGATTTCATTTTTTTTACTTTGAATTTTGCTGTGAGTTTGAATCCAGCCCTCAAAGGATCGATGGTTTCCACTGACTGACATTGTGAAGTTTGTTACATCATTGTGTTCTAACAAACTACACAACGTGTCTCAGCGAGAACTGTCAATTTGAATATTTCATTCTTAAATATGTGTAAAAACCCATTAAAATTTGCACATCACACACTGATTCCTGATTTACTTGCTGACATAAAACGTCATATTTTTCTTCTGTCCAATAAAATAAAAGCAGTGATGCTTCTGGAAGCAGCATGGCTAGTTAAAAAAAAAAAAAAAGCGACCCCTCAAATAATTTTCACAAACAGATGACCAGAACTCATCCATATAATGAAAACTTGTCACATATGAGTTTTATTATTTGGGCCTAAACCGTGGACTGCTGGAGCCGGTGCCAGTCACTCAGCTGGAGTCATAAAGGCCGACAGAGAGACACACAGTCTCATAATAGGTTTTATTTGACTTGGATGGTTTTCCTTCTGTTAGAAGAAATAACAAATAAATATCATGGTGGGTAAACAAAACGATAAAAGATTTATTAGCCATGGAACTCATCTGATGTATGACTTTTTAATGCTTTTTCCTTTATCTTGTTCTCATTCTCCTGCTTTCTTTTTGTTTTTATTCTTTGCTCTGTTTGTCAGCAGTCCACAGAGCGCAGGGCCATATGAGTAAGATGCAAATTAAAGAGATAAACAAGATAGATTTATGGATATTGTTAGATAGGTAGATGGATGGAGAGAATGATAGAGAATGTGCAATACAAAGCAAGACTGATAACAGCTTTGCATTCTGCTGCCTATTTGCTCCGTCAGTGTCAGTATGGGAACACCAAAGACGGAAAAGAAGAAGAAAATCTCTTCTCAGTAAAAAGAAACATGGCTATACCCAAAAAGTGTCAAAACCTTCAAAACAAGAAGTGTAAACACAAGGAATATTTCCCGGCTGTGCTGCACATTAAAATATCATCATACCATTGCTGCCTGTCAAATGTGTCGTTCCCTCCCCCCCCCTGCTCTTTGTTACCACAAGTGCTGAGCAAAATTGCACATAAAAGCACACATTTTCTTTGCCTAAAGACTACACAATGCCAGGCACATACTTTTCCCATCAAGGCCTGCAGAGACAAAACGGGGAACACTCATCTCTTGTCAAACAAAAGGAATGAGCCAGAAAACACAAGGCTGAAAGGGAAA